GAAGACTACTAAGGTCAGTTCAGTACCTGACTTCTTAACACCAGTTCTGGATGAGTTCTCTGATGTGTTTGGTAAGCCTACAAACCTTCCTCCTGCTCGTGAATGTGATCATACAATTCCTTTGAAGCCTAACTCCCAGCCTGTGAATTTGAGGCCTTATCGCTACTCGATCCCTCAGAAGAATGAGATGGATAGATTAGTGAAAGAAATGATGGAATCCCACTATATACAGCCCAGCAGAAGTCCCTGTGCTTCACCTGTGTTACTGGTTCTCAAGAAAGATGGATCATGGAGGTTCTGTGTAGACTATCGACAGCTTAATGATCTTACTATTAAAGACAAGTTTCCCATTCCAGTTATTGATGACTTGCTGGATGAGTTAAGAGGGTCAAAATTCTTTACCAAACTGGATTTATTGTCAGGGTATCACCAGATTAGGATGCATCCTGAAGACCAGCACAAGACTGCCTTTCGTACTCATCAAGGGCACTATGAGTTCACAGTGATGCCATTTGGGCTCACTAATGCCCCAGCAACATTCCAGGCATTGATGAATCAGATTTTTGCACCATACCTCAGGAAGTTTATTCTGGTATTTTTTGATGACATACTGATCTACAGCAAGGATCAGGAGAGCCATAGAGAGCATGTGGCAGCATCATTGTCAATTCTCAGGAGCAACACACTGTTTGCCAAACCATCAAAATGTTCTTTTGGCCAACCTCAGATTGACTATTTGGGGTATATCATCAACCAGGAAGGAGTTACCACTGATCCTTCCAAGATTGAGGCTATGGTTGCTTGGCCTATACCTAAGAATGTTAAAGAATTAAGGGGATTTCTAGGTCTCACTGGTTATTATAGGAAGTTTGTGCGCAATTATGGGATTATTGGGAAACCACTGACTGATCTCCTGAAGAAAGACTGCTCCCAATGGTCCAATCAAGCCCAGGTTGCTTTTGAAACCCTCAAGCAGGCTATGGTTCAGGCACCTGTGCTAGCTCTTCCTGATTTCACCAAGCCATTTGTTTTGGAGACCGATGCCAGTGACGTGGAAATTGGGGCAGTTTTATCTCAAGAAGGAAAACCTATAGCTTACCATAGTCAGGCCTTGGGGCCTAGGAAACAAGGATTGTCTACCTATGAGAAGGAGTATCTGGCAGTCCTGTTGGCTGTGACTAAGTGGCGCCATTACTTGGAGGGGAGGCAATTCAAGATTGTCACAGATCATGAGAGTCTCAAGCACCTGCTTGGACAAAAGATCCATACACAAATTCAGAAGAAGGGGTTAGTCAAGCTATTGGGATTGGATTTTGAGATCCAATACAGACAAGGCAAGTTCAATCAGGTTGCTGATGCCTTGTCCAGAAACCCTCATTTTGGCACAGCTTTGGTTAGTCAGGGTGAGTGTAGTTCCATTACTGCTGTTTTACCTACTTGGTTGGCTGAGTTAGAATCTTCTTATGAGGGGGATCAGGAGGCTCAGGACATTTGGGTGGAAGCTGCTATTGCCATTACTGGCCCCAAGCTGTTTTGGATCCATCAAGGCTTGCTCTACCACAAGGCAGTCATCTATGTAGGCTCCAATGGCAACATGAGAGATCAGATGCTCAAACTATTTCATGATTCACCAATTGGAGGGCACTCAGGGGTTCAAGCAAGCTACCAAAGACTCAAAAGGTACTTCTGGTGGCCTGGCCTTAAAACTTCTCTGCAACACTTCATTTTGCACTATGAGATTTGTCAAAAGTGTAAAACAGAAAATGTGCCATACCCTGGGTTACTACAGCCTTTACCTATTCCAGATCAGGCCTGGAAGCACATCTCTATGGATTTTATAGAAGGATTACCCAGTTCTCATGGGAAAGATGCAGTGTTGGTGGTTGTAGATCGATTTTCCAAGTATGGTCATTTTTTTAGTTTGACTAAGCCTTACACAGCTGCATCTGTAGCTCAAGTGTTTTTTGATGGTGTGTTTAAATTTCATGGGTTGCCCGAGACCATTGTGTCTGATAGGGATGCAATTTTTACAAGTTCCTTCTGGTCCAAGTTATGGGAGCTACAAGGGGTCTCATTGCATTATTCAACGGCCTACCATTCTCAGACAGATGGCCAAACTGAGAGGCTGAATTGTTGTTTGGAGGAATATTTGAGGGGCATGGTCCATCACTGTCCTCAACGCTGGGCTCTGTGGTTAACTCTGGCAGAATGGTGGTATAACACCAATTACCATAGCAGTCTTCAACTATCCCAATTTGAAGCTCTCTATGGGTATTCTCCAGCTCAATTCTCGGTTCAGAATCCTCTGTCCACTCCAGTGGCAGCAGTGGCTGATAGACTTCAACAGCAACACAGGTTGATCAACATCCTCAGGAACAATTTGGCCAAGGCTCAGAATAAGCAAAAGCAAATGGCTGATGCCCATCGCACAGAAAGATCTTTTGAGGAGGGTGAGTGGGTGTTCCTCAAACTGCGTCCTTACAGGCAGACTTCAGTTGAAAGCAGATCAAACCAGAAGCTATCTCCCAAGTTCTTTGGTCCCTTCCAGGTGGAAAAGAAGATAGGAGCTGTGGCTTACAGGTTGAAATTGCCTCCAGGTTCGGTTATCTATCCTGTTTTTCATGTTTCACTTCTAAAGAAGGCTCGAGTTGGTAGCAGAGTTCAAGTGCAGCCCAACTTGCCTGCAATGGATGATCATGGCGATTTGAAGTTAGAACCAGCTGCGATTTTGGCACGACGAATGGTGGCACATGACAACAAGCCTCAGACCCAAGTTTTGGTGCAATGGACTCATCAACAGGCTGAAGACGCGACCTGGGAGTCATGGATCGACTTTCATGTCAAATTCCCTGATTTTCAAGATTGAGGACAAGCTTTCTCTGAAGGAGTGGGGAGTTGTAACGAATGGACTGTTTTGGATATACATAGAAGTTAGGGATGAGATGGGAAATTGTGTAATGGGGGTTAATTGGTTATTTGCCAATGATGTATAAAACAAACCCGCCAAGACCGTTGTAACCAACTTTACTGATAATACAACTTTACTCTTTCTCTCTCCTTTCTCTCTCTCTCTCTCTCTCTTCTCTGTTCTTCCCAATCTCTTCCGCCATTCGTCTTCTGGTCTCGATTCTTCTTGCCAAGAGACTTCTTCTTCTCCAGGGCGTGACAATCATTAGTCAAGAAATAATTAACTACCAAGTTATTGCTAGCTACCCAGTTCCAGGCTTCCAGCTTTATCCTAATCTTGCATAATGTCATTGACAGAAACCTAATTTTCGGTTTTTATCATAATTATCATTAATAGGATTTATTTAAATGGGGTTAGTAGTCTTTGAGTCACATTAGGATAGTCTATTATGTTTTTCCCGGTCTTTAGCTATAAATATGTACTTTCGGTGTTTTGTTCAATTAAGCAGAATTTAGTAAAAGAATTATCTTTCCAAACCCTAAGCTCTCCCTATCTCCTAATTTCTCTTCTTCTCCTAATCCAAGGCTTCGACCGATTCTTATTTTGTTCTTCCTCCCCTAATTCTCATCTCAATTCCTAATTCTGTTCGTATAAACCCTAATCCCCAAATATCTAAGCAGACAGAAACCTTGTCTCTATCAGTCATGAACAGTAATTATGAGTTCATGCTGCATCCGTCCATCATCATCTCCAACCAAAACAAGACAAACCATACTTATTATCTTTGAGTTTCCACTGTTCAGAAACCTATCTATCACTATGATCAGCACTGTCACTTAGGAAAAAAAATCCCATCATACAGAGAGAGACGTGCACTATGATCAGCACTGTTGCTTAGAAAAAAGAAAGAAAAAATTAGCTACCACACTATGATCAACGCAGTTCTAAGTCAACCACCGTTTATATATGTTACAATCTTTACTTTCTGTGAGCAGCTGCTGCTGTAACTATCTTTCTCATGGGAGAATTAGAAAGCAAAAAGATGGCCAGTCACAATCAGCAATTCTCATACCATTCTGCTTATTCACGTACTGTTAATGTATGTCATTGATTGCTCAAAACAAACAGTGGTAAAGCCAATTTGGAGATAATGCATATGCTACTGTCGTAAGAGAATGGATTGGAAGGAAGAGAAGCACAAAGTTGTGCCGTGTAATAACAAGTGCCAAGTTAAGCCCTTGTTTGGTTAGTGTATTTTCATACATTGAGTGTTTTCTAAAATGAGCAGGTGAATTACTTCGAGCAGAGTAGGAGTTACATTACATGGTGGAAACAGTGGCGGAGAATGGTTCGATGGAATTCCTAAAGAATGCCATCTTCATAGTAACTTAAGAAATAGCTATAGCTACAGAACAGGGGAAAACGAGACAAAAACATGAGCTAGGCCCTGGTTTCAATAAAGATAAACTACTAGCATGGAACTATGTAACATCTGCTACCTAGCCGTGGGCTTCGCAATGAGGAGGATGGAACCAGAGAGAGATCACCTCTTCTGCCAATGTCCTTACACCAAAAGAAGTGTTTGCTGCAGTTCTAACTCCTATCAGATGGCCAAGAGATCGGGAAGCTATGCTGAGGCAAAGTGTGTCAGTTGGTGCTAAACGGCGGGGCTGATGGTGCTGGTGATTGGAAGTTTGTGGTGTTGGATCATTGTGGTAGAGTATTTGACGACAGGCAAGCAAGGGGCCTCTGCAGCACTGGTAATGCAAGATGAAGCATGATCTTGTTTGCCACTGTTCTGGATGCCCAGATTTTGGAAGTGAACTCTATAGATCCATGTTCAAGGGATGGTATAGGTTGATAGGTTTCCCCTGCTTTGATTTGTAGTTGTAGTATAAATTACTAGTATTGCTGGACAGTTGTTAATTAGTAAGTGCTGTTGCATAGGTGCATTTTGTTCAGTTCTGAACCAAATCTGTTAAGTAGGTAGAATTAAGAGAGAAGAAAGCATAGAACGGTAAGAAGAATTCATTGAGATAGGAAATGTTAAAAGATGCGCTATTAGCCTTGCTTAAACACAGGATCTTGACGACTTCAGAACTATGACAGAGGGAAACATTCAAATGCAACCCAATAATCTTTCTTGTCATCCACGGCACTACTACTGCCCGTGGCAATATGACGAATTTCCTTTTTCTTACAACCCGCCATCTCGAGAACCAGGCATTGCCAACTTGCTTTGGTGCTGTTTCTGCAAAGAAAGTGCTTCAGAGCCATCTTTAGCTGTACCTGATGCTGCAGGTTCTACAGTATCCTGAAATGCGATGAATATTACCAGGAAAAAGGGACATAATCAACGCCTGATGTGGATTCTTCGTACTACTAAGGTCCTTGGTAAACTAAATAATTCCTGATGGAAATCCCTTTTCAGTAGAAGGCAGAGCTAACAACAGTATGTTCCTAAATCATAGGTCATTCTAATGTAAATGAAGCTCATTTAGCATTACAACTACTCTTTATTGACTAATACATAATAAATTAGTAAAGCGACACCTCCTTCAGTCTCTGGCTCCGGCGGCAGCATCATCTCCAGCACCGTCATCGGAGTCGACAGGGTATATTTTAGAGTCTGGTGAAGGACCAAAACGGTCCTTCAGCCAGAGGTAAATAAAGAGAAGAAAGAAACCCATTACAATGGTTCCGTAAAAAAGAGGGAAGAAGGGAGGTACTGATGATTCTTCATCGTTTGAAGAAGAATTATCAGCATAATTGTCGATTGGGTAGAAAGACATTTTTTTTGTTTTGTTTTTTGTTTACGGTGGTATTTGAGTATATGGATAACGAGAAACAGCAACCATTTATAGGCGCCGGAGATTGGGAAGAGAAGAGGGAGAAGAGGAGGAGTAGGAAGAAAGAAACAGGAAACTCTGTTTTCCATGGAGGAAAATCAGAGTTGTCTCTGTTCCCAGTCGAGAAGAAGATGAAGGAGAGAAGCAAGAAGAAGAGTGAGGGGAAAGCAGGGAAATCGTTTTGGAGGCTGAGAAAGATGATTCTGTGAGCATCCCCAGAGGAGAAGGAGGAGAAGAAGAGACGACTGGTGCACCCAAAATCCGTTAGAAAGAAGCTCAACCCCATGACCTAAATATATCCAGTGGAGCACGTTAATGACCTGAATTGAGACCTGAGAGCGACGGAGGACAGTTTGGGGGGATGATGTGAGCTGCCAGCGGCGACGGCGACGGGGAGATTTGGGCGGCGGCCGGGAGGGAGATCGGTGGAGAGGAAAAGGGGGAGAAAATACAGGAAGAGAAATAAAAACATTCGCGCGAAGCTTGGAATGTTTTAAAATCTTTCCAAATTAAGCCTTCTGTATGCTGCTGGAAAAAATGACAGTTGTAAAACATACTGAGAATTTGTCAAATTTTTTAGTGTTCTTCAGAAGCATTTAAAAAAGGGTAAATACAATTTAATATTCAAATCTTTCATTTTAAACAATATAATAGCCAAACCTTTTCGAAAACAATCTAATATCCAAATCGTCAACTTTCCGTTCGTTTGACCGTTAGTTGACACTTCAAAAAAGCTTTGTTTAGGGGAAATTGTCACAATACAACTTTGTTTCTTGTTTTGGCATTGCAGATGACTGAATATTTAGATATTCTATACCATCATGGTGGAGTCATGGACTTCTCGGGTTTGGAACTACGATATGTTGGTGGTTTTTCAGAGAAGATGTCGATGAAAATTGATGAAGTGTCGTACTTTAAACTTTTTTGAAGTGTCAACTAACGATCAAACAGACAGAAAGTTGACGATTTGGATATTAGATTGTTTTCGAAAAGGTTTGGCTATTATATTGTTTAAAATAAAAGGTTTGGATATTAAATTTTATTTACCCTTTAAAAAATGATAATGGTACAGTAATATATGTTCCTGATGTTCGTTTCTTTTATTTGCAATGGCTAAATTACACGTTCGATCACTCAAATTAAACAAATCTTTCACGTTTGTCACCCGAATTACTTTTCTTTCTTATTCGCCACTAACTTTACGAATCGTTTCACCGTTATTCACCGGCCGTTACATTCTGTTAACTTTGTCCTACGTGGCAGTCAACTATAAAATTTGACTGTTAACTATATGACGTGGAAATTAAAAAAAAAATAAAAAAAATTTCCACCTCACCATCCCACTTACTTTATCTATATATTTTATCATATTAATTATTTAATAAAAAATCAATAAATTACATGTCCTCGGCCTCCGTTTAGCCAACGCAAGCCCATTGCTGGTGTACTTCTTCGCCTCCGCGACACGGGCGTACACCGCCTTGGCCTCCCCCGACGCCCCGAAAGCCGTTCGTCAGCGCGACACTCATCCACGTCTGCACGTTGCTCATCTGGAAGTGGAACGTCTCCCCTGACGCTCCCATCGCGCCTAGTTGCCACATCTGCTTCATGGAGCCGCAAATCTCCTCCGCGGCGTCGTCGAGGTTGGAGAGGCAGTCGTGGAGGGCGGAGGCGGCGCGGAGGTCGGTGCTGGAGTAGCGGGAGAGGGAGGTGTAGCAGATGTCTGGCATGGCGTTGCAGCTGGAGCGGGTGTAGGCGGCGTTCCATTTGCCGGCTACGCTACGTGCCAGGAAGTGGGCATCGTGAGATCGTTAGAAGCCATCAACTGTCCGCTGGTGTTTGATATCTCCGTCGCCAAAGCAAGCAAGCAGGGGAGGTAGAGTTCCTTCGTCAACAGGGTTAGTTTGAGGAAGCAAGGTGAAGACCCTTTACACAAACCCAGACAGTAAGCACAACATGGAGAACGTGGAGCTCGCGACTATCATGTACTGTGTCAGTTTTTCTCCTACCCTACCTTACCCTCCATACGTCAGAATTATCACATAAATGTTGGGCTGTTATCTGAATCAAGATTGAGGTGAGTGCATGGGGTGGTGATATCGACATTGGTGTACTACATGCAGACATTGTGTATAAGCAAAAGGGTCCTGTATTTGCTGCAATGTTCAGTCCTCTGCTTCTCGTGATCGTAGGGGCATTCTCTTCCATTACTTTCGTGGAGCAACTTCATCTTGGCAGGTGAGTCTTGCCCTGTACTTGTGTTTTTCTTTTCTGGCAGTTCCTCTCAGCAACTGTTTTGTTTGTGCTCTGGTGGCCTTAGCTTGGTAGGGGCACTGATAATCATTCTGGGGCTGTACAGTGTGCTATGGGGAAAAAGTGGAGACCATACAGCTTTGTCCACAGCAGCAGGAGCAGGGCAGAAAGGAAACGCAGTTGGTATAGATGGTACTGTTAGCACAACACAAAATAGCTCCCCCCACCCCCACCCACACACACACAGAAACCAACAGGAATCAACAGAATACATGGTAGTTATGAATTGAGATCAGATAAGATGACAGCCGAAATTCGCTTACCAGCCATTGTATCTGTACATTCCTTGCATCAAATTCAATCAAACTAAAAACATATATAACTCCTCTGGGGTTGATACTGAGAGGAAGAGGAGTAGCGGGAGTGTGATGATGGTGGTGGTGAGGGTCATGATAAATAAATAAAAATTAATTATTTATCATATTATTTTTTAATTAATTATTATTAAATAATTAGTATGATAAATTTGAAATGATGAGGTGGAAAATCATTTTTTTTAATTTCCACGTCATCTAGTTAACGGTCAAACTTTATAGTTGACTGCCACGTAGGACAAAGTTAACTGAGTGTAACGGTCGGTGACAAACGGTGAAACGATTCGTAAAGTTAGTGGCGAATAAGAAAGAAAAGTAATTCGGGTGGTAAACGTGAAAGATTTGTATAATTTGAGTGACCAAACATGTAATTTAGCCTATTTGCAATATTGAGTACATCACTTATTTCCATATTGTTTGCATGATTCTCTTTCCCTCAGTTAGAATTGCCTGGAAAATAAGCTAAGGAAACAACGAAACTCCATATACTGGAAATGCTGGAGTGTATGATTGGGATGCTAGAAAACTAGGAAATAGTTAGTCTCCTTGCTGAAAATAGCTCTACAAAATGAACTTCTTTCTGTAGTTATATTATTTTGATCTTGCAGTGAAACTTTCATTCATGTTTTGAGTTTATTTCACGCGCCAGGCAGAATGATTCTGTTCAGAATTGTGCTTGTATTGCCAGATATGCTAATGGAAACATTCAGGAGTAGGGGTGGTGATGATCGGTTAGCCATTTAACGATTTAACCGGTTACCGAACCGGTAATCAACGAAATCGGTGAGCGGTAGCTGATAGATTGCATTCGGTATACTGGGTCATATCCGGTTATTAACCGGCGGTTATCACCGTATCGGATGATATATAGCTCAGTGGAAGATGAGACTAGCTAGCTACCCCAAGCCTCCAACTCCTAGTGCTATTACACAGTACTAATGGTCGATCATATTAAGCTTTCACCATCGTAGCTCTGGTTGTTCAACGCTTATTTTTTTGTGGAAATACCTCTTTTGGTAGTTAGGGAAGCGATCATCTGGTCCAAGCTAATTATGTACAACTGATGCTACTGCTCCAATGTATCTGATGCTGCTTGCCTTGAGCAAATCCCACTGACTGCACACTTAGAAAAATTTGAAAACTAAGCGGTTGCTGACCGTTAATCGATTAATCGGTTTTCTCCTGGTAACGATAGCCGGTAGCAATTTGGCACTAATAGATATAATGATAAAAGGATTTACCAGATCGAACAATTACCACCCCTATTCAGGAGAGTTACATGAGATTATTCTTTTGCCACAAACCTTTTGACCAGTATTCCTCTTGTAACTAATCTTTTTTTTTATAAGAGGGATATAGATTTTTTTATTAAGGTAATACTTATACACACATGTACATGTTTTTTTAATACAAATAGTGACATCTTTATTCCAAACCAAATCAGGGGCAACATCTAAAGATTACCGTAGTGGAGCTAAAAGATCAGTAATTACAACTCATTCTCTCAGGAGAAGATTCCTTTGCTAACGTGTTGAGGCGTCGAGGGACAAACTCAACAGTCACCCAGGGAGTTGAGAGGAGGATGGGATTAACACGAGCTAAAATAGCCCGACATTGCCATGGCCAAGAGTCCGGATCTTGCCTCAAAGCGTTGACCAAAACCCGACAATCAGATTTGATGGATGTAGAACAAGGCTCCAAAGTTGCGAGAAACACTGCATTAAGGATGGCATAAGCTTCCGCCTGAATCGGACTGGAACAAAGAAAACTCTCAACCTTGCCGTCATACACCTGACCATGAGAATAAGCAATAGTAATCCCATAAGCCGCCACCTGTGAATCAGAAACAAAAGACCCATCACAGTGCACAATCTTTTGGACAGCGAGAGGCGGTGGTGAGGGGTGTGAACGGGATTCCCCAGGCTGAGAAGGCTCCAAAGCTGACCGAAAGAAGATGAGGCTTGGGGACAATTTCTGGCTTCAACCAAGCTCAGAAAATCCCTGTATGCTAAAGCAGCCAAGGTGGGCGGGGAAATAGCCCTTTGCTTGAAAACGAACTCATTCTGAGCAATCCAAATACTCCATAAGCACCAGGCAATCCTTTTAATAACATTATCTGATAGACTCTCTTTCAGGTTAAAAACCCACTTTGAGAAGGGCATGTCAGAAGTAGGAAAGCTCGAAAGTCCTCCAAAGCATTCCCACGTGCTCGCTGCATGCTGGCAATGGAAAGGACATGCAAGATTGACTCGTTTGGTTCCTCACAAATGGGGCAAGAGTGATCCTGAGCACACATGCGAGAGAACAATAGAGCACGAGTCGCTATGGCACTTTTAGCACACTTCCAAATGCAGAACCTAAGCTTTGGCGTGAGATCGAGTGACCACAATCACTTCCAGTCTTGCCAGTTAGGGCGAGCCTCAATTCCACCTATAGACAAATAAACATGGTCGCGATGTTCCCGTAAAGACCGATAAGCAGAACTAACAGTGTAATCTCCTGTGGTGGTGAAATTCCAAAACCATTTGTCCTGAGCCGTTGAAGGACCAATCGGAACTCTCTTAATAACATTAACTGTCTCTTCCGGGACAACATCACGAAGAGCCTCCTCATTCCATGCTCGAGAAGAAGGTGAGATCCAGTCACATACACGTGATGGCTCAAGATTAAGGCTGTTAAGTATGAAAGATGGATAAGATGGTAACCAAGGATCCCAGTGGAACTTTGTTCCTTCACCCGACATGATGCCTTTAACTAGTCCAATCTTCAAAGCATTCTCTGCATCACAGAAACCATTCCAAATCCATGACCCTTTCTTTCCTTTCGTTGCTGAAAACAAATCCCCATTATCAAAGTAGAGACCTTTAAGCAGTCGCACCCATAAAGCATCAAGATTTTCCAACATTCGCCACACTTGTTTGCCAATAAGAGATAGATTGAAAAGATGGAAATTCCTGAATCTCAAACCTCCCTCCTCCTTTGGTCTTTCCAGCACTCGGGCATCACACTAATGAATAGATTTCTTCTTCATAGAACCCGACCAGAAAAATCTTTTCAGAATTGAGTCCATCTTGTTTGTAAGAGAAAGCGAGAGAAGGAAAACACTCATAATAAAGGAAGGGATAGCTTGAATAATCGCTTTTAAGAGAACTTCCTTCCCTCCCGGAGACAAGAGCAAGCTCTTCCAAGATTCTCCTTTCTTCTCCATCCTTTCCAACAAGAACATTTCTTTGATCTTCCCCACTCAGTTGGAACTCCGAGGTACTTGTCATGACAGATAGAAGGGGGGAACCCAAACTTATTCGTCACCAACATCCTAATTGCTTCAGGGGTGTTCTTGCTAAAGAAAACAAACGACTTTGTTGCATTAATTTCCTGGCTCGTTGCTTCACCATATTGTCGCAATATGCCTTTAATATGAACTACCTCATTCACACTAGCTTTACCAAAGATCATTGTATCATTTGCAAATAAACACTGAGAGATTCTTGGGCAATTCTGATTAAGTTTGATTCTTCGAATGTCGCCTCTCGAGACAGCTCTTTCAATTAAGAGTGACAAGGCGTTAGACATAAGAATGAACAAGAATGGTGATATAGGGTCACCTTGTCTAATGACTCTGGATGGAAAGAATGGTTCAGTTGGGCTGCCATTCAGAAGAATAGAAAATTTAACAGCTCTGATGCACGCATTGATCCACCCTAGCCACTTTTCTGAGAAACCATAGGCTTTCATGATAGAGTCAAGACAATCCCAATCAACAAGATCATATGCCTTGTGCATATCTAGCTTAATCATCATATCCCAATCACCATGCCGACGATTCTTAAAGTGGTGCAGAATCTCATGAACAATAATAATATTATCCTGAATTAGCCGTCCTCTCGTAAAAGCAGCTTGCATCTCAGAGATTTAACCTGGGAGCCACTTTTTCATCCTGCTAGCAAGAATCATCGAAATAATCTTGTACCTAAAGTTGCAACAACTTATAGGTCTGAACTGTGAAATCTTTTCAGGGGATTGAACCTTTGGAATGAGTGCAATATGAGTATCGTTCCAACCTTGTGGCATGATCGAGGAATGGAAGAAATCTTGCACTTCTTTACAAAAATCTGGATCCACTTTTGGCCAAAATCTCCTAAAAAACATTCCCGCAAAACCATCTGGTCTCGGTGACTTCAAAGGTCCAAGATCAAACACTGCATCTTTTATCTCATCAATAGACGGATCTCTGCAAAAATCTTCATTCATTTCATCAGTCACTAAAATGAGGGAAGTCTTTGAAGAAAGAAGTCTCAACACCTTCTGACTTAGTGAACAACGAATGGTAAAAACCATTAACATGAGAGGACATTTCAGTCGGATGCTCAATAAATTTGCCACCATCATCCTTCAGTGAAACTATCTTGTTCCTCTGTTTTCTGTGAGCAGTAGAGGAGTGGAAGAAATTAGTATTTTGGTCCCCTTCTTGGAGCCAATTCACCCAAGATCTTTGACACCAAATCGCTGCAAGTTCATTCATGTACATGGACTTCAACATTTTTAGGTTGGTAAGTTAATTATGAGATAATTTGAGTCTAAAATTCTTTTTTATTTTGCATCTTAAGCGTTGTTTTGTGTTCCGAAGAGTTTATGATTATTTGAATGACTTCCTGTTATCACAAAGAGACCAGTGAACAAATTCATTTGTATATATACAAGTCAATAATGGTTGTGAAATATTATGTTTGAACACCCTAATAAAAAATAATTTACTCATGGCATCACAAGATATATACAATACATGTAATGGTTCAATTATGAGTTCTTAACATTTTCTTAAAAAAGGGGAAAACTTCGAGAGCTTGAATGGTTCAATTCCTTGAATTCTTTTACAAAATTCACGTTCACACCTCATACCCCATCGACTCCTTGCTCAGATGAAAGAAGTTGCTCATGTTTAGCACTAGGACTACAACAAATATGATGTAGTACAATCTGAACATTTTATGTCCCTTTGCTCGCTTGATGCGCATAATTAGAAGCTTTGGGACTATGTTACTATGTGTAGGGTACATAGTTAGAAGCTAAATATATGGTTATCTTTTGTTGTCCACCACTACTTTTACCGTTACGACTTATAAAAAAATATGGTAAGATGAATAAATTGGAACAAAATGTCGTGAATTTTGCAAAGAATTTCATTGATGCTTCTGATGATTACTAGTTTTATTTCATGCACGTTGCATGAATAAACTTAGGTATATATCCTGACATTATAGTTATTGACCTTTGATACCCAGAACAACAAATTATGTTGGAGTAATTATGATCCTTGGCTTATGATTCTATTTAGAACTCATGCCTCTTTAATTTATAATTTGCGAGAAAATGAATTTAAGTATCATTAACTCAAATATTTTAATTTATTCTATCTATTTGCTACTATTTTTTAGGCTTTGTGGCACACTGACATGATACGGTTGTTCTGTTTTTGTAGGTGAATTTATTTTGATTGCTTACATAATATTCGCGGACATGTTTGCACTTCAATATTATGATACTTACATAGTGACATATTTTTGCTCCATAAACTCAACTATTTGACAAAAGAAATTGAACACAAACTTGGTATCCTTATTAAGGGGACAAAAACCCTAAAACTTATTCACAAAACAAAATATCATAATAGAGTGATTCTATCTATTTATCATGTTCACCCTCATTCATCTCTGACTTTGTGTGTCTGACGAGAGTATCACATAGACTACTCCTTCCAGGAAAAACACCTATCATACGTTGAAGTTTGTACATTAAACTCACAAATCCCAAAGGGTTTGATAATCCATCTGCAATTCACGCAACCCCAGTAATCTCTTTTATCATTATAGACATCATACCAATGAAGCTTGCCGCTACCTGGCCACTCGAAGGAACATTTAAATAAGGTCGTGGAAAATACACTTGTCCAGAACCTAAAATGAAAGTCTTGTCCCGGTCCTAACACCCTAACACCAAGGTCGTCGTCCTTCGACTTACAATGCGCCTTCAATTGCACACTACCCCCAAGCGCATTGCCAATCATCACCATTTTCTTCAATGGAAAGATGCCATTTGTGTCTTCAGCTTTTACAACATCATTTATAATTCCGATACACAGTAGGAATATAACATTAACTATCATAACTGCTCTCCTCCCCATGCTTAAACTCATTATATGAAAGTATTGTCGAACACACAATGGATAGATGGATTATATATATATACATGTCCATTTGCATGAATTTCGGCGGTATTAGTTAGGTTAGTTAGTAATGTTATAACTTTAGTCTAGAATTCTTCTCTATTTTTTTGCACCTCAATATTGTTTTGTATTCCTATGTTTATGATTATTTGAATGGGTTTTGTGTTACCATAAAAAACGCTTCTAGTTAACTATCCCCCCACATTTAGATATAACAATCGTAATATAAATTCGGAGGCTCAAGTGTCACTCAAGCAAACAAAAGAGACAAACAATGTTGAGGCGAAACTGCACAATATTTGTTGTGTTCCTATTGTTAGCACAAGAAACTTCTTTCATCGAGGCGAGGATATGGTATGCCAAAACAAGTGTGGTGGTGAAGAATGAGGTGGAAGGAGGGAGGAAACTAGCACTTCATTGTAAGTCTAGAGACAACGATATTGGGGCCTTTGTGCTGTTAACACATCAAGGCATAAAATGGAGCTTTCGACCGAACATCTTTAGAACCACTCTGTTTTATTGCAGCGCTGATTGGGGAGAGGGAGTTCATTGGTTTGACATCTACACTTGGAAGAGGGATTACTTGCGGTGCACTTATTGCCAATGGATAATAAAGGAGAGCGGTCCGTGCCTTCTAGACCTTGGCACACGTAATTATGATTTTTGCCTTCCGTGGCATTAACAATTGAAGGAGAAGAGAGGGGATGGTTGTGTTATTGTGGACTTGTTTCTAGACCTTTGATAACTAGGTTTGGGTTTGATTGATAGTTATGAGCATTAAATATTATGATAGATTTCATTATTTTTTTTACCATTAACTAGGATAATTTGCATCTAATAATGATGCTACATGCGACATCGAGTTTCATCATTCGATAGCATTTTTTTTATCTCTGGTATGTAAAAGCAATAAAATTATTAGCTAAAAAGATGAAATCTTGCATGGTCCCTCAAGAACTCACTCCTCCTACTAATTACAATGATCGGAGCGTCACAATGATCGATGCACTAGCCTCCAAGAACAAGTTAGGGTTCAAAGATGAAAGTATTCAATAACTCGCTTACTTTTATAATATTTGCGTATGAAGATCGGTTCAGATTCGTAGTCCTTGGTTTACATTACTCGATGGGGGTGAATGTTGTGTTTTGTATACAGAGGTATGAGCAAAAGCTCAAGATGTAGGATTAGGATATTACAAAGTTAAAGGTTCCATTCGAACGTGGTTGTCGCTATGTCATAAACCAGTTGGTCCCAATAATTCGAGTTGTTGGGAGAAGGTTATGCTGGATCTTATACAGGCCCATGTATGGTACTTAACCACTTCCTTACACGCCCCCTCAAACGAAAGCCGACTCATGGACTTGAAGTTTGCACAGGGCCACCATACCATGTGCTTGAAAGACAACGATTAATATTGGGGGTCGTGAGGACTTGAACACTTCCTTACACGCTATAGTTTCAAGCCTTCAATAAAAGCAAAAAACAACTCAACCAATATATCAAAAATAAAATAAACTGAACATAACAGAATCTCCAAAACAAACCCTAAACACGGCTGATTAGAAACCAATCAAGAAGACTGATGAACATTCAACCAATACTCTCCATCATTATAAGAATAAACAAAACATACATATTCGTACGAACCAACTTCCTCTACTCCAATTGACTAAAGCTAAGTCATTTATCCTTTCCTAGCTGAACTAGGCAACAATGATTGTCAATAGTAATTTTCATACCATTAGATCACTCTTATCATCGAGTAAAAGAAGATTCAAAGTCAGTTGAACATCTTAAACCAAAACGTAAAATCAAATCCCAACAAACAAGAAAACGAAGGAATAGGTTTTTTCGCCACCAAATGTGGACAACCCTTTTATTATCTCGACCAATAAAGCAGATAATGAACATATGAAAATACTCCCCAAGAATTAGGGATGACAATTACCCACCCATGGGTATGTTTGCCCAAATCCAATTGCACCCATCTATTATGAGTAGGTTATTGGATTTATTCTATATGGGTTTGAGTAGTACTTTGGGTAGGTGGAGTTGGATTTGGATTTTGGTTTTTAAAGTGAAAATGGATATGGGTTGGATTTGGATACCCATCACTTTGGATATGCTTGTAAATGTTTGTTCTTTTAGGTACTAAATGTAAAACAAAAAATTTTGAAGTATCAAATTATTATTTTCCGTACATAATGCTGGACCTATTTGCATTTCATTATAAAGTTCAGGTACTAAATAGTAGTTTTATATGTAAATTTAGCAGTGAAACATGCCACCGGAATTTCCTCCGTCGATCGATCTTCGCCAGTTTGCCGGCAACCGAAAAACGTCGCTGGTGGAGCTGGGACCCGGTTCGCGGGTGGAGCGGTGCTTCAACTTCATGGATTGATCATTGATGAATAGCATCGAGTGGTTGTTGCCTGCTTGCGAGTGGAATTGCGAGTCGATTGCCTTTGTTTTCCCCATCAACGACGTTTACCGGCAAAACCAGAAGGTGGAGCTTTGGAAGGAGAAAGTCAATAGTGCTCGCGCCGACGTTGTACAAGGAGGAGCACCTTGGTCGAGGGTGATGAAGAACTCGTCGAGGTTCCCCACCAGTGGCTCATAAGAAAATACTTTGCATAACCATTCAAGAGTCAATCATTCCTCCCTTTTAGGCTAATAAAAAAATAAAGCTCAATATTATTCCTATGTTGTATATCTACTGTAGATTACAACATATAAATGTTTAATTTAGATAAAAACTCATACATTATGTTGGATGAAAACTTCAAAGGAAGGTCATTTTCAGCCTATGATAACCCATACAATTGTATATTATATTTTTGTTAAGTGAATACTTCTATAGACTATAAGATAATTGTATTAGTTATATGTATTTATGTTAAGAGTTAACTATAATTATGTGTTGATTGTTACGTTCTATTCATAATATAAATTGCGAATTGATGGATTAACCAAAAAATTTCTCACTTAATGATGATGTGATGTTACATTGGTTAATTTGGTTAATCAATTAACCAAACTGATTAAGGTTAATTTGGATATTGTATTAGTTTGGGCGATTTGGTTATGATATTGTATTTCATAGTTAATGGAATTTAGGTTTATTTGTTTTGATAATTACCATGGTAGCCATTTGAACAACCCTAGTCGGGCCAAGTAAGGAAGTATGGTGCCTAGTTCGGGCCAGAGGAACAATTTCAGAAATCATGGGCCAAAGTAGAAAGTTTGGATATAGTTCGTGCCAAAGTAACGTATTAACCCATTTAAATATCATTAGCTCAAAACTTTTAATTGGTTCTACCTATTCACCAGTATTTTTTTAGGCTTCATGACATTGTCTTGATATGATTGTTATCTTAATGGAGGTGAATTTATTTTGATTGCTTACATCATATTCATGGGTATATTTGCACTTTAGCATTGTGATACTTACATAGTGGCATTTTATGTTTGCTCAATGAACTTGGGGCTAAGATCAGGTGACTAGGGGGTCCCTTGAAGCTCATTAAAATTTAATAGTTCAGATTTATCTAGTTTAATGAAGGGTAAGGTGGTAATTACCTGATTTATTTATTTAACAATTAAATTACAAAAACAAAAAAGGGTTGCCCCCTCCGCCCTCCTCGCCTGTGGCCGCCGTTCCAGGGAATTTCTCCCCGGCCGTGAGATTTTGTGTCCCAAAAGTAGAGAGAGAGAGAGAGATTATTTGCTAATTAGAGGAAATTTTTCGGCGACCAGCGATGGCGGAGAAGAATTTTCCGGCGATAGTGTTGGATTTGTGATGTTTGTTGACCTATTTTGTAAGGTTTATATCGATTCGGTTGTCTTGTTTATCTTTCTTGTTTGTCATTTTTAGTGACATTTTGTACGATTAGTATGTTTTGTACTGTTTGTCGGTTTATTTGTAACGTGTGTAAGTTTTGTTATTTTGTAATGTTTGTCGGTTTCTTTTGTAATGTTTGTAAGCTTTGTTATTTTTGTGCACCATTTTTATCATTTTTGTCAACCATGTTTGTAATGTTTTTTATGTCTAAAAAACAACCTGGTTGACTTTTGGATGAAACTCCTCTATATATGGACGAAGCTTCCAAAGTCAACCCAGGTGTTTTTCCAGTTTGTATGTTTTTTATCCACCATGTTCGTAATGTTTGTATGTCTAAAAAATAACCGGATTAACTTTGGGAGGGAGCCTCTCTATATAGGGATGGAGCCTCCAAAGTGAACCCGGTTGTTTTTTTCTTTTTGTATGGTTTGTATTGTTTGTACAGTTCATACATTTGTAATGTTTATAAATCTGTTTGTATGTTTTGTCGTTCTAGTTTATACTGTTTGTATTGTTTGTAAATCCGGTTTGTATACTTCATAATTTTTTATAATACCAAATTACCCCTCCCGCTAATTAAAAATCTCTTCCCAATTTTTAATCTTTGAATTGAAGTGTCAAGATCTAATCGCTAGGAGGGGCTTAGTCAAGTGACTAAGGACCCCCCGGATCCGCTCTCCACAGACCACAGCTACCCAAGAAAAAGGCAACGACGACGTTGCATGCCGCTACTTGCACACCGACAGACTATACGCTGCCGTTTAGCCTTCATGAAAGTAAAACGCTCCGTCTCCATGGTTTGGGTTGGACCTAAACTCCAAGGCCAGATCCCGGTTGTCCCCCCGACTTTCCGGTTCGCGAACCGTAAACCAATCGAGCGAATCGACGAACAACCCAATCTCCCCAACAGAACATTTTTCACCTCTGGGTGGTGTCTTCAGTTTCTTCTGCATCCGGGAGCGAGCCTCAGGTTGAAGGAGGCAGACACAAGATCGCATAATCGATTCGCAGAGAAATGGCTGCCATCTTAGCTCGCAAGTCTCTCTCCGCTCTCCGCGCTCGGCAGCTGGTTAGCGACTCTCTTCTATATTGCTCTTTAAGTTTCATCCCCGCTCTTCGTCGTCCCACCATGATTCCATTTTTTTTTTACGCTCTTGCTTTTTAGGTTTAGCTTCCGTTTGCAATCCCTCATCGGTTCTCTTCCTTCACCTTTGTGGCTTCGGTCTGTGTTATTATTAGGTTTCCTGTGTATATGAACGAATTGAGGATTTTTTTTTTCCCTTCGCATTTAGAGGGTGATTAGTGTCTCAGTTGCGTGAGAAATTCAGAGCAAGTGATTGCTTCGTTTTACGTTTCATGGATCGTTTTGATGCTTTCCTACTTCTTTGGAAAGCTAGTGCGAAGGTTCAAGGGAACATTTTTTTGTTTCCGTAGTGATGTATTTTATCCGCATTCCGACGGGATTAATGATAGAGCTCTGGATCCGTGCTGCATTTGCGTATGGTAGTGGTACAGTTTGTGTCTGGACTCCTCTGGCTGAGTCGTATGGTAATGTGAAGTAAATAATCTCTTGGGAAGAGACTAGGGGGGAGTAGAAATGTTGGCAACTAGAGTCGCAGTCGCATTTGGTCGTAGGATGGACATGGTACTCGAGCGTGTGAGGACTCACTTATTTGTTTGGAGAGAATTGGTTGTAATTGATCGTAGATATTTCTCGGAACCCCTTGGTCTTTGTATTTAACTTTGCAGAGGAAAGAGGCAAACTGCCTGTCATGAGCGCTTCGAGTCAATAAAGGTTCTCATGCGCCAGAAGATTGGTTTACTGGTTAATTTACTTTTGATGCCCGAGACCCGTCTCCCAGTCTTGCATATCACTTTCGTTGATGGGTGGCATGTTTAAGTCAGAAACCTTTAATGTATTGATGCATTTTGCATTAGCCCTGATATTAGGATGGTTTCTCACTCTTAACATGAGTGACGAAAGGACAATGGTCACCTCCAGATTTTACAGGTAACAAGCAGTAATGTGGCAGCAAAGGGGAGACAAAGTGCTTCTTTGGTTAATGACTTTGTAGTGTCCTGAAGCCAAAATAAGCAAACATAGATGTCCAAGATTATTGTATGACAAGTCTCACTAGCTTTAGAACTGGTAAAATGGTTTGCCACGGTTGTCTGAATCACAGACTAGCCATTTAATTTTCTAACTTGAAGTTATGTTTTCATACAAAATTCACCTGCATTTGTGTTGCCTTCAATTTCTTTCTCATTGTTGCGTTGCCTGCTTGATACACCTCTTTTTCTTTTTTGGGTTCTGATTATTCTGAACTCGATTTGGCTGCTTGGTTTTATATATTGTAACATTTCCTGTCTTCCTTTCTCGTAGGCTGTATCTGGTGAGGCATTGCGGGCCTCATCTCTGTACGCCATGCGATCCAGTGCTTTATTTTCAACGGACAGAGGTAAGCCCATCTATAATAAACCATAGGTGGAAGGTGTAGCATGCATGATTCGAAAATGATTTAGGGGTGCACGATTACATTTGGACTATTGTTCCTTGTAATGTCTCATTAGTAAATCATGATTGCTGGATAAAGCTCTATACTAACGTAAATATCTAGTTCATAAGAAGAGGTAATAATTGGGTTTATACTCTGTTATCATTTCATCTATGTATGAAACTCTCTTTGTCTAGTGTATCAAAGAATAGGCGGAAAGATGGTTGTTTGTTCTTTTTATGCTCGAAGAACCATTCTCATGGGAAGACATATATTTTTTGCTGGACACCGTAATAATCTTAGAAACACATGAACTTCCAAAGTCTGATTGCCTGCCACAATATTGATGCTTTTGCGATCTATTGTCGCACAATTGATGCTTCGCGTACTAATTATTTCTGGCTGATGGATTTGTTTTAAATGTAGAGGATATAGAGAGAGAGGAACTCGCAAAGGAAATTTCGAAGGACTGGAATTCTGGTAAGATGTGTTGTAATAAACATGTTCTCTAAATTTTGTCACCAGTGCTTTGTTGTAAACTTAACAATTGGTCTCAATGCAGTGTTTGAGAGAAGCATAAACACACTCTTCCTTACTGAAATGGTCCGTGGGTTGTCGTTGACGCTGAAGTACTTCTTTGAGCCAAAAGTTACTGTAAGATTCTTCTGCACCTCCCCACGTTTCTGACGTACTCTGGTGTAGTTGACTTAATATGATGGTAATCTCTTTCTCTCTGTTGTTTAGATCAACTATCCATTTGAGAAGGGTCCTTTGAGTCCTAGGTTTCGTGGGGAGCATGCTCTCCGCCGATATCCTACCGGAGAGGAACGTTGCATTGCTTGCAAACTTTGTGAAGCTGTAAGTATCAAAAACCTCCTAATGCTATGTTTAGGTTTATGAACTGCCTCATAAAAGACACTCAATCTCTTAGTTATGATGTAACTAGGATCCATGACCATGAAGCTAGTGAAGTGGTTGCATGATGTTAATGCACTAGCTCTAGAAACCAGCAAGATTCCGTTAGCTGTATCTAGTTGTGAGAACTTGCGAACTAAACCTAATCTCAGTACTGATTGGAAGCATTTTATGTGTATAAATCGATGTATGTGACTCGAAAAAGTACAACTTGAGATCTTACCGCGTATTCTAATTTTTCAATGGTTAAATCTGGTGACAAGTTGACCAATTTCTGCCGCATCTTATGATAAGTAGTAAGTGAAGCTGTGTCTATTGGCCAATAACTCTTCACTGTTTCCAGATTTGCCCTGCACAAGCCATCACAATTGAGGCAGAGGAACGAGA